AGACAGACCAACAAGAGATAACTAGCCTGCCTAAGGTGATATTAGTAAACTGAATGGCTCTAGACATGTTACTGGCATCACAAAGAGGGGTTTCTTCCATAATCAGTGAAAGTTGTTGTTCTTATACGGACTAAAGTGGCAGAATTGAAAAAGATCTGGAGGAAATTTGGAAACAAACGAAGATATTTCATGAAATGACCATGGATGACACCTCCTGGGGTTTTGAAGAAATATGGAAACAGTTAACTTCATTGTTTCCTGTTCTCTTCTGATTGAGGCAACTGGTTGCAGGAATATTGATGTTATTTGTTTTAATATTGATTACTTGTGGTATGATACAATGTTCCCTCTGGTGTTGTAAACAGTCTATGGTAAATTATGTAGATTGAAATAGAAATGAAATCAAGCATCAAGTAGAAATGGGAAATTATTTCAAAAATACTTTAGATGGCAATTGTAGTGTATAAAGTGTTGCAAAAGAATTTGCAAAAGGATGAAAAAAGGGGAGATTTGAGACAAGGGGGAGCACAAAATTACGAAATGGAATATATAAACCTTTAGAATCAGTTTTAAGTAATGTTATGTTTGATGGATTTGTAACAGTAGCAATGGAAAATTACTGAGGTGCATGATACAGAGCGAAAAAAATAGAGAGACAGTGCGAGACAGTGTCAAATGCTTTGCACAAGTCCAGGTAGATGATATCAACAGTTTTGCCACTGTCTATCAGTTCTCTGTAGCCCACCAAATTGGTCAGGCAGGATTTCCCCTTAGTGAAGCCATGCTGGCTGTCTGTCGTGGTTTAACCAATGCCAGACAGCTTGTGCACTCACTCCCCCCCCCCCCTTCTTGCCCTCCCCTATTCTTGGAGGGACGGAGAGGAGAATCAAAAAGAATGCAACTCCCACGGGTTGAGATAAGAACAGTTTAGTAACTAAGGTATAACACAAATCACTACTGCTGCCACCAATAATAGTAATGATAAAGGAAATAACAAGGGAAGAGAATACAACACCCCATCACCAGGCGACCGATAATTCGCCCCCCCAGCCTGATCAAGCACCGACCAATACCTCCTCCAATCCTGCAGTCCACCTAGTCCTTACGGGAAACTCTCAGTTACATCCTGGGCATGACGTGCTGTGGTATGGAATACGTCTTTGGTCAGTTTGGGTCAGGTGTCCTGTCTCTGCTTCCTCCCGGCTTCCCTCCTCCCTGGCAGAGCATGAGGCTCACAAAGTCCTTGGCCAAACCAACACATCATTTTTATCAGCTCTGTTCCCAGCCCGAAAGTCAAAACACAGCACTGCACCAGCTACCAAGAAAGAGAAAAATGACTGCCACTGCTAAAACCAGGACACTGTCACCAAGCACCTTGTTGATTTTCATGTGCCTTAGCATGCCTTCCAGGAGAATCTGCTCCAAGATTTACCCAGGCACGGAGGTGAGACTGACTGGTCTGTAGTTCCCTGAGTCTTCATTTTCCCCTTCTTGAAAATGGGGGTTATATTTCCCTTTTTCCTGTTGTCGGGAACTTCACCTGACTGCCATGATTTTTCAAATATGATGGACTCTGGCTTAGCAACTTCATTTGCCAGCTCCTTCAGTACCCGAAGATGGATTTCATCACGTCCCCTAGACTTGTGCATGTTCAGATTTTTAAGATGGTCTTGAACCTGATCCTCTCCTACAGTGGGCCTAAGGTCTTCATTCTCACAGTCTCTGCATCTACCTTCCTAGTACTGGGTGGTGTGGTCAGAGCCTTTGCCAGTGAAGACCTAGGTAAAGAAGTCATTAAGAACTTCAGCCTTCTCCACATACAGGGTATCCAGTTCTCCTGATGGCTTCCAGAGAGGGTCCTCGTTTTCCCTAGTCTGTCTTTTATTTGCAGTGTACCTATAGAATCCTATCCTGTTATCTTTCACATCCCTAGCCATGTTTATTTCGAACTGGACTGTTTATTTCTAACTGGATATGTTTATTTCTAACAACTGAACTGTTGTTCAAAACTCAGTGCCACAAATGAGACTGTTTAGGATGAGATCAGAAAGCCCAGATGGGAGTATGATTAGAAAGGAAATAAAGGAGAAAAGTAGCAAGATTATAATTACAGTACATAGGAATTCTTCTGTTCTTAGTTTAAGCAGCTTACCGTAATGACCATTTTCTAGTATGTAGACTTTCTAAAAAGTATATGGGACATCTAAACCTTGAACCTCTATTTCCTGCGTTTATTACTCGTTAGGGTTTTGCTTTAAGTCAGTATCATTAATGTAGCTGAATTTTCTTAATTTAACACATGGCCTGGAGAAATCTCTCTTTTTATTTTTCTAAGTTTAATGGGTTGTCCTGGGTTCAGCAGTAGCAGTCATTTTTTCTCCTTAGTAGCCGGTGCAGCGCTGTGTTTTTGACTTTGGGCCTGGGAGTAGAGCTGATAACACTGATGTTTAGTCTGACTAAGGACTTTGTGAGTCTCATGCTCTGGCAGCGAGGAGGGGAAGCCAGGAGGAAGCAGAGACAGGACACCTGACCCAAAGTAGCCAAAGAGGTATATTCCATACCACAGCACATCATGCCCAGTATATACACTGGGGGCAGTTACCTGGAAGGGCTAGATCTCTGCTCGGCTTGGGCTGGATATTGATCGGCGGGTGGTGAGCAGTTGTATTCTCTTCCCTTGTTATTTCCCTTATCATTATTAGTGGTGGCAGTAGTGGGTTTGTGTTATACAGCTCTGCACCAGCTACTAAGAAGGAGAAAAATAACTGCTACTGCTGAACCCAGGACACTTAATTACTGGACTGTTCTTATCTCAACCCATGGGAGTTGTGTTTTTTCGATTCTCTTCCTCATCCCTCCAGGAGCAGGGGGAGGAAAGGGGGGAGTGAGCAAGCAGCTGCGTGGTTCTGGGTTGCCCCCTGGGCTTAAACCATAACACAGTTACACTCCTTAGAATTCCATGGAGGAATTCCTTATTTTGTCTGCCAGGATGGATCTAATAGCACTGTGTCACCCTGGAGAGGCGATAGAAAGAGGCTTCTTCCTTTGCCTCTCCCCTCACCCATCAGATGAATCAAATATTTGGATAGGAGCAGCCAATGCAATAACCAGTGTAGTATGTAAGGATGTATTTTGGGATTAAGTGGATTGCCTGTAAAATGGTCTTCATGATGGAAATTACTTTCTGGGGAGTGAAAAGATGATACTCTACTGCTGGGTTTTAGATTATGTCCTGTACACATGTAGAAAGAATGACTTCACACTCCCTTTCTCATCAGCCACACTGCAATAACAGATGTATGCTAAAATACAGGACGTTCTGAAGGCAGAGGAACTACCTTGTCAGATTGCTCTAGCACAGCTCTAAAAGAGGGATACGTACTCTTAAAATAGGAATTTAATCTGAGACCAATGTAGTGAAGAGAAGTCTTGTTGCTTAATAAACCTAAGCCCCTCACCATACTTTTAAGTTCATTTTTATACAGATCATTGCAGAATATCTCTAGTCAGTATTCTTACTTTCATCATCTGGAATTCCAGAGTGTTCAGTTTAGGAATGAATGATTTTCAAACAAGCATGGGCTCTCTGATCCTTACAGTAATCTCTTTTGTGAAGTCGTGTAGTCCAAATTGTATACTCTAAATATGGAGGAACTGAAGATTGAAATTTAATTCCCATTTCTAAACCCAAAAGATTAATTTATCTCACAAATTTAGGAGTCTAAGTAAATCCCAATGAAAAACTCTTTTAAGATGATCCTTGGATGGAGTCTAATGTCAATGTTCATTGTGTAAATTTTGAGCTATGATCTCACAGCCAATTATAAAACTTTGAGATATGAAATATTACATAAGAATTTATTTTTCTTCCTTTTGAACAAGTAACCATAAACTTCTAAAAAGCAAAAGCTTAACCATTTTTCTTTGTCAGAAGCTAGATATGGCTACTCAATGTTTTGGAGTGCTTAAAACTTTCCTGCAAAATAGTGAACTTGCTTTTTGATAAATGTTTATTGGGAAAATATGTATCATAAGATATTTATTTTCAGTGTCTCTCTTGTTTCAATATAATGACCTGTCTTCTCAGTCACAATCTTGTATCTTTGAAAAAAAAAATAAAAATTCAGTTTTTAAGAAAAATATCAGGCAAAATGCAGATCAGAAAAGTTTTAAATTTTGTGTTGAGGACTTGGAAGAAATGGGAATTGCAAACAGAAAGCTGTAAGGTGTTCTGTTGGCACAGCACTTCAAACTCAGTCTGATTTTGGATAAAGAGACAGATCTAGAAAACTGGAATGGCGTACAGGTGAGAATTCTATTCCCTCACCCTAAATGCTTCTGGGGTTGTTGCTATGGAGAAGGGTTCAGGCACTAATATCTCCAAAGGCCTAAGGGTTACATGTGTGACAAGATAGTATTGGTAAAGTTATATGCAGTGTCTGGGAATCATCACTTCACAAACCTGATAAAAACTAGCTTTGTCAAAAGACTTGTTAAAGTTGATATAGTTTTAGTTTCTTTCTGGAATAACTTGCTGCACTTAATTAAGGATTGTTTGATTTAGGGATTGCTTAGGAAATTAGTTACCAAAGTTATGTAGGAAGTTGTCCTTTAAGACTTGGAACTCTATATATTCATGAAGCTTTTGAGATTTCATTTTGACATCTGATCTTGAAGCTGTGTTGTTTCAGAATGTAAGTCACTTGAACAATTAACATATATATTTTAACAAAAGATGGACTTTCAAGCAGTTTGATTCTTCCCAAAAAAAGTGAAAATCTGTGGAACCAGTTGCGTATTACTTTTTTTTTCTCCTTTCTTTAAAACGAATGACTGGCAAAGGTTAGTTAAGTACAGCATTCATTGGAAATCTTCACTCCAAAGAAAACCTCCTTGTTTTGCACATCAGTAGAAGAGGGTGAATCCACCATTAATTTGTATACTTTTTATATATAACTTTTGTTAATTCTCTTTTTCTTGTTTTTTTTTTTTTTTAACAGGGAAAACCAGACTTAAATACAGCTTTACCAATCAGACAAACTGCATCAATTTTCAAACAACCAGTCACCAAAGTTACTAATCATCCTAGTAACAAAGTACGGTCTGACTCACAGCGAGTGATGGAGCAGCCACAACAGGTAAGAATTTATCTATTTCCATTGTTACTGCTCAGAAGATTGAAACAAGCTGAAAATGTGCTTGTTTTCAGACATGAAATTCTGATGAGAATTCTCATCTTGAAGATTACTTATAGAAAAGTGTGTAATACGTAGAATAAAAAAAATACAGAAACAACAGTAATTTCATATGGAGATTAATATTTCTTAATCCAAATCTTCATTCATATTTCATTGCCACATTCCTCTTGAAATTCAGATATGTGCTGAAATTTGGATATGTTGCAATTGGACATCAAATATTAAAAAAATTTCATGTGCAGCTTAATAGAAGTTTCTATAAAATACATGGTTCTCATCAAGAAGTAATCTCTCTTTTATACAGAATAACTTAGTGCAAAATCAATGAAAAAAGATGTATTTTAAATCCCTCTTTTTCACTCTGCTACTACTATAAATACAAACCACAGTAACATAAACTCATTTTGCACAAGTTATCCTTTACCTGCTTTTCTTTATATTATTGACAGATTGCCTGTTCACACAGTGCTTTTTTTGTTTGGATTTTGTTGTTTGTTTATTTTTTTATGGGGAGGAGGGAGCTGAGAAGAAACAGGAATCTAGTTGTTAATGAACGAGTGATCAGGTAGGTAATATAGTGTATACTGGACTGAGGTACTGTTTTTAAGTCTGACTTCTATTTTTTGAGTCAAGTTGAAACATCTTATTCTATCTTAGAAGTGCAGGGATGAGAGGAAAATGCATAAGCATGTTCAAATTTTTGTATACTCGTATGTCACTAACTTAATAGTTCCTTTGAAACTCCAGCTGTCTCTAATACTGCACATATTCAAACATCTTGAA